AACAAATTATATGTATCTATGTTTGTTACAGCCAAGGAAATTACGACTGTAATGGAAGATAGATTGTCCCGTGGTCAAATAGACAAATGGTTTTTCGTAGAATTTAGTCTATTGTGTATCTACATGAGGGAATAGTGTTTCTGAAGGAGATATTACTAGAATTGGAATGAATAGTTACAATAATCCAGAGATATATATTCCAAGACAATAATAAGGGTGTTAACATAATATAACATAACATCACGCATTTTATCTCCAAAGATATAAGCAGAGGTGCACATTTCGAAAATTGATGCCACTGTACAAGGTAACACCCATTTTTCACGATTTATGATAGCCTATTGCCGTATACTGGGCACAGTTCCAGACGCCGTGCTAATTTTTCTTATTTAAAAACCCAGTGGTACTTTGCTCGACCGATTGCCGAATCGAACCCGAGACCCCTTACCCCGTCGCACAGTCGTACTTGCCACTCCGCCAACAAGTCAAGCAATAAGGATATTGCTCTAACTAATCCTGACTGTTATATACATTAACATATATCATGTTATAACTACGTATTTACATAGACATATATGTACAGTTGTGTATATGCTTACACATGCTTGTTCGACCATTGTATAACAAGGTAATACACGGAATATGTCTTGTACTTACAATACAACATGTGATATGTTTGCTACTTGCGAAATATGTTTATTAGAGGTAATAATTACGAATGTTATATTGGTTGGTTGTTCAATTAAACTCGGATTGGTTTTACTTGAATTTATTAATATAACGTGCACAGCGCACGACGTGTTTGACTGCACGGTTGGTTCGGTGGTTGGGCAACTGGCTGCCGCGCAACGTGTCGCGGGTTCGATTTCCGCACGGAGCAACTCTTTGTGTGATCCACAAATTGCTGTTCCCGGTCTGGGCATCATGTGTATGTGAACTTGTATGTTTTTAAACGCACCGACGATACAGGACACTAGTGTGGGGCAACGTTTTTTTTTTAAACAAAATGTAGTGAGGCGGCATACCTTACGATAGTAGTGATGTTAATACACACATCTAACAATGACTACTTCTTTGGTCAACTGATTACTAATTGTATTACTGTAGAAGAGATCGGGTTCGAGTGTGAATTCCGGCTCGGGATTAGTATTAATTAATTTGTTGTGCAATTTTTGATACTATATAAGTGTGGGAGAGCTAGTCTTCGGCACAAATGGGCCGGCTCGACCAGAGTAATACCACGGTCTCCCAGAAAACCGACGTGAAGCAACGCTTGCGTTGTGTTTCGTCGTGTGAGTGAGGTTACCGGAGGCCCAATTACCCTTCCCTTCCCCAATCTCTCCAATTCTGAATCCCTAACGATCCTCAAACTCCTAATCCCCAAAAGGCCGGTAAAGCACTTGTAACGCCTCTGGTGTTCCAGATCTCCATGGGCGACGCCGATTGCTTACCATCAGGTGATCCGTCTGCTCGTTTACCAGCTTATGCCATAAAAAAAACTACCATGAATAATATACCCAAAACGTCTTAAATTAAAATACTGAATATAACGCGTAATGTTTTACAATAAGAATATTTGTACAAAGAATATAAACATTGAAATAAATGAGTCGAGAGAGAACTAAAGGTAATTAAAATAATTGCAGCGTTTAATATAAAGAGCTTAATTTTTGTAACTTAGTGTAATAGTTGACTTCAAAGGCAATGAATGTACCGAGCCGTAATAATCCTGTGGTTGCTCATACCGTGGGGCTTTCGTTCATTTTGCATATTACAGAGAGTACATATCGCGTGTGCTATTTAAAGGGAACTAATGTAAGTTAATTAAAAAGTTCTTATCTCTATGATTCATATAATTAGAAGTGATTTTGGTGATATTTTTTAAGAGATATTGATTGTTTGTCTTCACGAACCTATTTTAAATGTTCAGTAACCCCTAAGCTAAGATAGATAACACTTAAAGTCTTTCTGGTTTCCACTAACCTGTAAGTACAACCTTTAAGTTTTCCCTTACGCTAAGTAACTCTTAGTTAGGAGATGGTTTAAGGGTGGTATCATATATATAGTTATCTGCCTGATATAAAGAGAGCGAATAGGTATATCGATATACAATATCTTTTGTAGCTACGATGTAGGGTGGCCAGCTGTTCTATAAATGATGGGAATTTCAAAAATATCACAGTAAAGTTGTCAAATAGAGTTACCAGTGATCGAGTTTATCGAATCGGTTTTTTGTGATAAACTGCACACGAGACAGCCATGATGATTCGCTCAACTGGAGTATCTTTTTATACTCGACTAGCAAACCCGGCGAATTCCGTTTCGCCACCAGATGCTTCGTTTTATGTAACATTTCGGTGGTGAGTAAAAGATGAAGAATTTTTTTTGTTTTTATTTTATAATCCTCACGGAGCCTGAGCCCTTTCCAACGAATGCAAAACCGTAGAAATCGGTTCGTGCGTTCTGGAGTTATAGCGTCAGGAAGGAAAACTAGACTTATTATTATATTGTAGACTAGTGGACCCGACAGACGTTGTCCTGCATATCCACTTGAATGTAAAAACAAAAATTCATTCAAATTAGTTCAGCTGTTTAGGATAAATAACCTAAACATCTACTGCAGCGCCATCTGCCGGGCTGATTTGTTAATCTAAGCTTTTCCCAGATCCCCTTGAACACACACAAAAAATTTCATCAAAATCGGTCCAGTCGTTTGAGAGAAGTTCAGTGACATACACACTCACAGAAGAATTATATTTATAAAGATAGGATAACGTTTGGCCACCATCTCGCCTGGTAGTGCACGATAATGTGGCCGACGATGGAGCCTATGGACGCCTACCTATGAGCAACCTGTTCACTCGGGACTTGGAGACAGCGTTTATTTTAGCGTAATCAACAACTGAAGTTACCAGAGGCCCAGTCCATCCTCTAATCCCCACTTCCATCTTTCTCATTCCACACTTCCATTCTACGATCCACGGTTCCTCAATCGAAAGATTTTTTAAAACAAAATGTACCGCAGGTGATTAATGCTCAAACCTTCTCCGTGTGAGAAGAGGCTTTGCTCAGCAGTGGGCATTTATAGGCTGTTGATGATGATAATGATGATGATGTACCGCAGAATTCATACTCACACGACAAAAGAATATAATTTTCTGCTGTAAGACAAGTATCGGAGGGACGTGTGTTTGTGCTGCACTTGTAGAGGGTTTAATATAACCTCTCTATTTACTCTGTTAGAACAACCTCTTCAGCCTTTATACTATACTTCGTTCTAGACATAGTATAGTACAGTCGCCAGCAGGTCAACCTATCCTTTTCCTTATTACATTTTCAACTTTATGTTATTGGTATAAAGTTGATAATTAGATGAAACGAATTGACAGATTGTATGAAATACAGTTTAATATAAGACTGCGTGAATAGTGTTTAACTTGCATTTTTCCAAGGATATTGAATAGCTCAGTATACAGATCCTTTGATGTCGGTCTCTTTGAATTAAAATGTAAAATTTATTTTTTAAACGTATTTTTAACTTCAAACGAATTCAATTGTACGAGTGTAGTGTAGTTTTAGGTTAAAAGAAATTCTTTATTTTGTTTTTACTACTTTGAGCATAGAGGTCGCAGGTTTGAATCTAGTAGGTAGTACAGCGTTGTTACACACAAAAGTACAAAATGTTGTGTAATAATATATTAAATTACGAAAATAAGGCGGAAAACTGTACTGACTATAGTACCACACGAGTATAATCGAAATAATTTTTGAATTCTCTGACCCCTAAACCATCTCTCAACTAAGAATTACTTAGCACGAGGGAGCTCTTAAGTGTAGGAGAGGTTGGTGAAAACGGGAATTAGTGTAATACCTATTTATTTATTTTATACTTTATTGCACACACAGAAAATTTAGTTGACATTGTAATAGTACTTTGAGTACAATGGGCGGTCTTATCATATTAATAATACTTTATGGAACAGTGATTAGTGTTGATGCTGTTCACAAAATCTCATCTCTTCAAATAACAACTAATATCAGGCCAATATTAAAGCTAAGTATGAAATGATCGGGCACAGCAGACCAGAGTACCTAGTCCAAGTGATTTTATACGTTACCACGTTGAGCCCTCTGATTGGCTGTTCGAAGTTAACCAACCAATCAGAGGCCTAAACGCGGTAACGTTCCGATCACGTTAACTTGTAAATAAGCTTGCACTAGGCCTTCAGTTTAATAACCCGTGCGTGACCCGTGTGGCGGTCGACGTGACCCGACGTAAGGACCAATAATTGTGATATTGTTGATTTTTACATGTGATCGCTTACTGAATCATTCTGGTGATATTAAATGTCGTGGTACCTCTAAGGTTTAAGACGCCCGCTTCTCATGCACGAGGGTGCGGGTTCGAAACCTAGCAACGGCAATGTATGTGCTTTCTATGATTATTTAGACACCACTGACAAACGGAGGAGGAAAACACCGCGAGAAAATACAATTGGGAATATAATGGGTTTACATTTTCTGGTTACAAGTTTGAAATCCCCAACACGCATTGAGAAAGCGTGGTGATTGATGATTAATGCTCAAACCTTCTCCGTGTGAGAAGATTTATTTCGGAATAATAACCCTAATGAAAGACGGACAGACAGACTAAAGAGTGATTGATTAATTAGTTCCATTTTAATTACCTTTATAGAAACGGTATCCATCATCAATAATCACCAAGTGTAACAAATTACCTAAAGGAGACAACCTACCAGCTCCAATCAAGGTGAAATGATTTCACCCGGAAATGGAAACCTTTTGACCACAGAATCGAACCCATTTACTTCGAGTATTATGCTTGATGAAGTTACCACAACACAGTGACAGGTTATCTAGAGGTTTTACTTAATTAAGATAGCAAGGGTTAACTTCGATTTTATTCAAAATGTATTAAGTTTTCAATTCTGTTGAAGACATTTGATAAATCAGAGTCAAAGCATGTTCATGAAGCAGTGGCTTGGTCAGCAGTGGTTACTTATGGCTGTTGACTTACTTGTGGCAATATGTGAGTAAAACAAAAATATAATTATTATGAAATAATATTTATTGACGTGGTTTTAGTTTAAAACTATCGTACCCACAGTTTGTCTTCTCTCATACAATCCGCACCTTGACACTGAAACAATCACAATGTTTTTTTTTACACTATATAGGTCGACGTTTGACCACCAACTCGCCTGATGGTAAGCGATGATGTGGCCGATGATGGAGCACGTTTACCTATGAGCAACCTGTTCACTCGGGACTGGAACACACCCAAGTCATATTTGAGCGGAAATACAGGCTCTGGCAAGGAAACAGCTTAGCGGTTTGCATGAGGAAGCTTGACGCGAAACGCTTCGTGCGAATGGGTGGGATGTCCACCATATAAGGGTGGCGTCCCACCGTTCGTCTGGTGGTACGATGGTGAAATGGACTAGGGGGAATAAGTTTGTGCAATTCCCACGCTCTCTCACCGTTACATGTTACATGTAATGCCTGGGATTTATATGAAAATTAATAACGCAATTAAATATTTTCAGAACATCAATTGCTTGCTATATGCGGGAATCGAATACGTGGCGTATTGAGCGCGGCGAGTTACCCAGTCACCGTGCAGTCTCTGATCCTCAAAAAGCCGGTGACACACTTCTAACTCTGCTGGTATTGCAGGTGTCCATGGGCGGCACCGATTGCCTAACAATCAGGTGATCTCATGTCACCTTATCCCAAAGAAGGACATCTATTCGTTTTTTTTTCTTTAAAAATCGTCACCCCACACTAGTATTTTCTCGTGTGTGGTGGATGCGTTTACAAACATACAATATCACATACACATGACATCCAGACCCGGAACAACAATCTGTAGATCACACAAAGAGATGTTCCGTGCGGGAATCGAACCCATCGGTTATAAGTATACTTACAAATGCTTGGCAGGATAGTCCAATACACTGTAAACAAGTAGAAAATTTTACTTAAAATCTAATATATAACTGAGTGAAACTGAGTGTTGTTGAGTGACAAAGTATAGCTGAAACGAATTATTATTCTGGAATTTAAAAAACAAAGTAAATTGAAAATTTCATTTCAATTTTCCTTGTTAAGGGAGTATTTTCTAGAATTCCATTCCATTCCATACCGAGAGGAACGAGGAATAATGTTTTTAGTGGTAAAAAACAATTAATGTATTTTAAGTGTCTGTGTGTGTGTGTGTGAGGGTGTGTGTGTGTGTGTGTGTGAAAGATACATCCCTCACGGTACTTACAGTAGCTACACATTCGGATCCTGTACACTGAAAATAATATTTTAAATATCGTGTGAATTATTTTGTGTGAAAAATGAACAAAAAATTTATTTGTTATTAACAAGCGCTGTTTTATATTCCATGTATATGTACTAGGTTCTTATGTATACATAAAATATTTGTGTAACTATGATAGGAATATCGATTACATTAGATTCGATTATTGATTGTTTTTATAATAAAATCCTTTTTTCACGTAACATCATACGTATATTCATTTTACGTGACCGTGAAAAAAATTGGCACCACGATTTTGCAAAAAAATATTGAGCTACGTCGTAGTTATTGGGGCGTAGCATCGACTACGCGCCCGCTACGAGCGCTACGAGTACTACGAAATCGTAGCTTTTGGTTTAGGACCACTATTTTTTTTTGTTAGAAAACACATGTTTTTTCCGTGTCTTTAATATATTACTATTTTGCATTAATAGTAGGAAGATAGTATTATCTAGAAACTGATTTATTTTAGTGAATATTTCATATAATATTTTTAAAAATATTTTAGTAAAATTCTTTCCTTTAGTAAATCGTTGTAATTATTTATTCATACTAGAATGGTACCATATGTTTAAATTCAGTAATTTTCATGGTCATTAAGTTTTAAACATCATGAAAAATAGGGTCCAATTACCTAACGGTCTGTCCTGTAATTAACTAGACCCACTTATCTGTGAGTTATCCCAACTGAAATTATCCTAATTAGTAAAACAGGCTTAGTATATTAAATTTTTTTTTAGACGGATCACCGTCTGCTTGTTTTCCGCCTGATGGTAAGCAATCGGCGTCGCCCATGGACACCTGGAACACCAGAGGGGTTACAAGTGCGTTACCGGCCTTTTGGGGATTAGGAGTTTGAGGATCGTTGGGGATTCAGGAATTGGGGAGATTAAGGAAGGGGAGGGTAATTGGGCCTCCGGTAACCTCACTCACACGACGAAGCACAACGCAAGCGTTGCTTCACGTCGGTTTTCTGCTCGGCCGTGGTATTACTCCGGTCGAGCTGGCCCATTCATGCCGAAATTAGTCAATTGAGTTTCATGTCCTAAGCTTCATAAAAGGATATTTATTGTTGAGGATTCGAGAAGGGCAATTATTGTTGACCAGGTTTATAGGTGACTGGTTCATAAGTCATCAAGTAATAGGCAGCTTAATATACTTTTAATTATGAAAGTTCTGTGATACTAAGGCGATTTTATGTACAAAGTATATGTATAATAAAATAAATAGATATAATATTGTACACAGTCATCCAATTCAATTGATTACAGATAACTGTGATAGTAACAAAAACAACTTATAACTATATTAGTAGAATGAAGATTGGTAACAAAATGAAGCATATAAACTATGTTAGTACATTCAATTTCATCGTACGAACCATTTTATTACAAATTAAGAACATACACATACTATTATAGCTCAACCTATGTTTTAATTTAAACATCAGAAGAAAATAATTATTATTACGCAGGCTTGTAATAAACATCACTTGTGACGTGCTTAATTAAACCGTTGCCATGGCAACCAGGCTGTTAGTACATACGCCGCCAGGTTTTAGATGTTTTGTATGAAACATCTTACGCTATCTTTATCTCAATTTATTTTAATACTAAGGACTCACGGCGCGATTTCCTCCCGCGCCATCTACGGTTGTGGGCCCGCAGCCTTTGTAGAATATAATAATATATATGTACGTAAAAAATCAAAGTACATTTCACGTCGTGTTTTACGTCGGCGGCGGTCGGGATTTTTTGCGGCTCTCGCTGCGCCGACGACGGGCGCGGTCGCGGTTCCGTAGCTGCGGCGGCTAGCACTCGCGCGTTCTGCGTTTGGTAGGAGGCGATCGCAATGTGACGGTCGCTCTGGAACTCAACTGATTGTGTAATGGCCCGCCTCTCTTGCGATAATCCACCGCCCAGTTTGCGGGTGATAATTGCAACCGTGGCGGCTGCCGGACCTCAGAAAACTGCGGTCTTGTGAGATGAAAATAAATCTCCATGCCGCCACCGTGGCGACGTGCGCGGGTGAGAATTGCGCCGTGAGCCCGTCCCGTAACTACTCCCGCGCGGCATCACCTAACTGATCGGTTCCCAGTTGTCTGGTTCTAGCGTGTTTTGTATACTTGTAGAACTGTTCAGATGATTCTGCTATGAAAAACAATAATATCGACCGATTACCGCAAGTATACCAACTTGTTATACTGTTGATGACTGCCTCGTTGGCCGAGTGGGTGCAAGTGCGACGTCTAGGGTTCGATTCCCGGGTCGGGCAAAGTATTACTGGGTTTTTAAAAAAATTCTCAGTAGTAGCACGGACTGGATCTATGCCCGGTATATGGCAATAGGCTCACTCCCTATTACATAGGACTCATAACATAAATAGTGAAAAGTGGGTGTTACATTATACAGTGGCATAATGTGCCTACTGCCTACCTTCTGCCTACCTCTTCGGAGATAAAAGGCGTAATATTATGTTATGTACCAACTTGTTATAAACTTACCCCCGCCGTACAAAACATTCCGCTACACTGGAATAAATTCAAATCATTTCATATAGATCGAAATGTGTAAATAGCCAATGAAACACTTCCAAGTTGTGTAATACTCAATCAAAATATGATCCAGGTACTTACTGTTGAAGAGCATGCAGGTCCAATGCACTGTAAAAGTTTTAAAAAGTCAATATAACACCATCGTAGTCCAAGCTATAAATCAAACCTAGGATCGCGTGTTCACCAACCAGGTCAATGAGGTACTAAACGTAAATCACATGTCAAAATTTAGATACTACCAAGTAATGACCTGTGAACCTAGAAAATATAAAGCATAATTAGTTCAGATGCCTGCACGTTAAACTATACCTAACTGACAGTTTGCTTCAATAAAATGTCAACTTTTACACCAACAAGATAAAGTTAATATTCCAATAAACTGATTATGGTAAGTTGACGTGAGGTTGTCCTGTATGTAATGTAACAATAGTACATACATACATACATATTGTCGTACACGTATGAATGTAGCGACAGTTGTATTATAACTATTATTTCCAGTACAATAGGAGCTTCCATTTATTTAATTAATTGCGCACATACTCGCGTGTAGAACTTGAATTAAGATTTTATTAATATCGTGAATTACAACTGTAGAAAGTGCTGTACAGCTGGTTGTTACTACGACAAGTAATTTACTGTCCTATTTCCTACTATTTAATACACAGAACATTTATATGTTCTGTGATTTAATATATAACGTTACCCCCACACTGGGATTTTCGTATGTATCGTGGGTGCTTTTACAAACATATAAGTTCACATACACATGACACCTAGACAGGATCACATAAAGAGTTGTTCCGTGCGGGAATCGAATCGGGACACGTTGCGCGGCACGTTGTTAATATGATTTAAGTTTAAAACTATATTACATTTTTTATAAAATTTGATTATCTAGACACTAGTTACTGACAAACGGCGAAGGAAAACATCGTGAGGAAACTTGGGCTTACAATTTCTAATTTTGTAATCATCATCAAAAATCATTTTTGTAATCATCAACCCGCATTGAGCATGGGCGGTGATTAATGCTCAAACCTTCTCCGTGCGAGAAGAGCGTTTTACTCAGCAGTGGGCATTAATAGGCTAATGATGATGATGAATATATTTTAACAGTGTAGATACTGAATCTACACTTACAGTACTTAGTCTATACAATCTATGTTTAATAGAATCCTGAATAGAATTAATTAATTTCTAAACCAAGGTACAATAACAATAACAAGCTAGAATAACTTGAGGTAAACTATCATTCAATAATTTTCATGTATCTTAGTGAAATCCAGGTTTAGGAGCACAATGCTAAGCACAACACAAGGTAGACGAGAGCTCAGTGTTATTTCCCTAGCGGTAAGCAAATGTTATGTTAGTACTGTCGGGGGCAAATGTTCAGAGTAAGTAATATTTAGTGTGCAGGTAAGAGAATAAAGATTGAGACAGTATTCATTAGTTATCTGTTAATTCGACTAATTGTTGCGAAAGATTTGTCTTGGTTAAAATATTTTTTTTGTGATTAGCCGGTAAACGAGCGCACGGATCACCTGATGGTAAGCAATCGGCGTAGCTCATGGACATACGGAACACTAGAAGCGTTACAAGTGCGTTACCGGCCCTTTGGGGATTAGAAATTGGAGGATTGGGAAGATTGGGGGGGGGGGTAATCGGGCCTCCTGTAACCTCACTCACGCAAAGAAACACAACGCAAGCGTTGCTTCACGTCAGTTTTCTGTGAGGCCGTGGTATCACTCCAGTCGAGCCGGCCCATTCTTGCTGAAGCATGGCCCTCCCAAAGTATTATGATTTAGTTAAAGTCAAGACATTGACTACTTCTAAACTGTAATATACTCGTAGTTTTGAAACATCATAAAAAATAAAAGTCAGTCAGCCTGTCCGTCAGTGATGCTAGGTACTCGTTACAAAATATCGATTCGTGTGGAGAAGAACGAACAAGGCACTTCATCGTTACTCTTTGATAAAATATTCTATAGTCTATATTCTGTATTAACCTCATAGCGAGTGAGACGGATTTATTTTACTGTTCTCTGAGTGAATTCACAAGGAATGCTTTGTTTGTAATTAGTTATAAGCAATAAGTCAGGATTAAATAGTTCGCATTTATCGCATTGGGTCATCCTGTAATGGTAAAAGTAAGTAAGTAAATAAATAAATAAAAAGTATTTTATAGTTGAAATTAGCTTGACTCGATATTATAAATGTGAAAATATGTGAGTTTATGTGTTTGTGTGTATGTTTGTTAGTCAGTTATATTAAAACGATTGAAGGGACCGGAATGAAATTCAAAACAGAGGTCAATTATGGTCAGAAGTAATACATAGGCATTTTACCCCTGGGATCGCGGGCGAAGCCGCTGGCAGAAGCTAGTGGTACATATAAAAGGTACTATCTCTATACTGCAACAATAACAATAACAAAATAATGCCTGATTGTACCGGTGTTCACAAGATGGTCCAATATCTCACTGTATACCTGCAAGACGAACGTCTGCAACAGCTTGCTACGTTTAGTTAAATCGAGTTCACTTGCCGAATGTGTTTTGTTTTAATTAGACTGTGCAGTTGATGCTGCAAGCTGGTGGCTGAACTGTGCAGGATTGGTTGGAAGTCTTGCAAGGACTTACTCTTTGAGTAAACCATAAATTATATTATTGCTGGTCTGTGTGTGTTATGTGAATGCTTTTAATGTAGAGTGCTTGCAAAATGCACTTACGCATTATAATGCATCGTTTAAAAATAATAATCCGATTTGTTCTTACATAAGTATCGATATTGCAAAGTATTTTTTTGTTGACAAGTAGACGAATCACGTGATGGTAAATCAGTGTCACCCATGGGTACCCGGAACACCAGAGGTGTTACAAGTGCGTTACCGGTCTTGTGGGGGTAAGGAATGGAGAGTTAGGAGAGTTGGGGGGATTCAGAGATTGAATATACCTCTACATTTGTTCGCCAAATACAAGTCATAGAGATCTGTAAACATTTTGTAACATCTTGTATTTATTAATACATTGATTTGATATCTAACCATATGTTGTCAAAAATGTAGGTAAAAGTACCTTCCATTTCTTTATTTCCATGTTTTTTTGATAAAATCTCAGTTTTTGTTTGTATTATATATAGTTCAAACATATAGTTAAGTAACATAAGTTGCGACGTAAGTAAGAACCCAAGTATATGAAGTTGCCAGGGTAAGTTCATTGGTCTCGACATGTATTATAAATTGGAGGCTTTTAACCGGAAGAAGTTCAGCTAAGTGCTGCCTGAATTCAGGGACAGTAAAGTGATTTAGAACGGAATTAATTCCGTCCCTTTTCGATGTCCCGGACACGATATTTTTTGGGAAGTCAGTTATATATGTATGTATATGTACATCCACAGTTTCCTTATGGACTTAGTAATATTGTTAGATGTGGCTTTGACGATAGGGTTAGCGTAGTGACTGTGCAGACTGCTATGCCATGTGTCACAAATTTGACTTCAATTTTTTCACACAATATTTGTGTTGTTCTGTGTTTGAGAGGTATGTGGGATTTGTCTTTATATACGAAACCACGACAGGAAAAAGTTGTAGTGTAGGGCAATGGTTTTTATGTTTTCAAAACTATAAATGCAACAATGTATTAGAACGTTGGAATATAATGTGGATAATATTTGAGCTAGCAACGTACCTACTCATGCAATGTTACCATTACACGAATAGTCGTGTAAAGTAAGTAAGTACATGACTAAGTAAGTAAGTAAGTACTATTACTTAATTTATGTTTAAAACACTAACGCCCGAATACTGAAAGGTTACTCAATCTTATATCGTGCCATCTCTGTCATTTTACAAAGAATTTGTAGTGATGAAACTATACTTAAGTAAACTTAAAATTGACTAACGTTTGAGTATTTGGATGTAACGCTTTATTTTGTTTAAACACGCTATTATGAAGCGGTTTCTTAAGCAAATGGCTTATGATCAGTATGTACTGTTACTTTATGACCATAGACATGTGTGCATTTATTGAATAATGAATCATTAACTGAGATGAGCCTGAGATGTTTGTTAATAAGATTTTCTAAGTATTTTTTGTTCCTTACTGACAATGATCCTATGACTTATGCATTGTCAATACGCTAACATGATCACTATTGTATTGAATTACGGTTGTAAATACAATAACTGAACATTCACTCCAAGTTTGCCAATCGAAGAGTATTACTGAGACTGATCAACATACTGACACGACATATTATTATGTAAGTAGTAGTTCACTTTTGCAAATTCTTCCCAAACAAACCGTAGTTACAAAGGCCCCTTATCCCAAATATTGTTTTGACCACAGCCTTACATTATTCCCTCCCAAAGTGAAGGTCACGACCTCATGGATTGTTTTGAGAGCCCATTAATTACCATCAATCATGTTATGGGGTCCTTACCACCTAACTAATGGAGTTTTACGCAAAATTAAATAATAATTACAGAGAAATTGCCAATCAGTCATCTAATCGTGCCATTTTTGGAAATAGATATCTGATATTGTGCTGTACAATATTATGTAATTTATAAGCTAGGTCTTTCATATTCTTAAGTATTTTTATTTATTATTACTTCTTCACCAAAGATAACAGTGAATGGCGGACTTAATACCAAGGCATTCACTGACAGTCAACTATAGGGAAGTGAAGAGAAATGAAGCGGTTGAGCGAAGTATTGTATTGTAGCATCATATTTAACACCTAAAGAATATCACTTACGTAGATATACAATGTCGTAATTAAGAAGTTAGATCAATCTACTCCAAAATAGATTTTAAACTTAGTTATTTCGCATTATGGTTGAAATTAGGTTGAAGCCTTTGAGTACTTTGAATGTGCAGAAGTCAGAGCTCTTTTTCATGTCTTAGGTAAAAAATACATTGAGGCTTGATAAATTCGTTAGTTTGAATATGCAGACCTCTGTACTTTTGTTAATGAAGAAAACAGAGGGTCGGTTTGCGAGGGATTTGGAGAAGCAACACAAACACCACTGTGATTTCACTTTTTATTCACTTCCTTTAGATACTTTTTCCCGCTAGGGGCGCTGGTTGTACTCGCCAACGTCAGGTTTGACGAGCAACCTAACCAAATTGATGTAACGAAACCATAGCGCGATCTATCTCGATATTACCACCCTCTATCGAGCGACGTGACAACTCTGACTAATAATAATTTTATTATAATTAAATGTTGATCGCGCTATGATCCCGTTACCGCTCCAAACAGTTAGATTGAAAAGTTCAAATGAACACACATATATTTAATATTTACAATAATATTTTAAAGTATTAAATTATTCCACTTACCCCAGACGAACACGAGTAGGAATCGCACTGATAACAGAAATGAATACACAAATATAAACAAAAGAATATCGTTGTATGTAACATTTATGATAGTCCCTACAATATATGTATGTCGAGTGCGGAGTGTAGAGGGGACGTAATGTATGCGGCCCTCACGAGGTAGGTACAAAGTGTTCAATAGAGAGAGTGTCGGCATTTGCTGACAACACGAATTTTGATTTTAAAAATATTCGGTTTTAACCGACATTAAGATTGGAAATAGGTAAATGATTCATTATAATTTGGGTGTTAGTCAATTGCTGTACAATGTATGTACATTGTGTATTATTGACGATCCAATAAAAAACTGAAAAAACAAACTGAGCTTGGAATTCGACCCCGAGATTTGTTGCTCTGCTGTCAAGCTATGTCTGCGGTCGACGAAACAAGTGATATTGAACATGACATAACGTCACAACCTTTAATATCCGAAGGGGTAGACAGAGGAACACCAATATAAAATGTAACATTCACTTTTTACCAATTATGTTAGAAGTCTCATTTAGCCGCCAATTATTAAATATTAATTACTAGCTACTGCCCCGCAGTTTCATCTGCTCTGCTCAGCTCCTATTAGTCGTAGCGTGATGTTTTATAGACTTCCTAACTCGATAAATAGGCTACTCAACATAGAAATATTTTTTTAAATCGAACCAAAAGTTCCAGAGATTAATTAGCATGTTTAAACAAACAGACAAACTCTTCAGCTGTGTATAATAGTAATAAGAGTATAATAGACGCCAGTATACTTACTGTAGCTATGCATTTATCTTTGACGAACTGTAAGAAGAATATTTATTATTGCCTTCATATTATATTCTATCGCTTCGGGACCTCAGTACGGCGCGCGGCATACATTTTGTATGCTGCATCAAGCAATCTGTTCACTACACTAACCTAATAAGACCTTACATTTTTATTAAGTGTTCGCTCAAGATAAATAAAGAATTGGTCTTTCTGGTCACCTAATGTAGTATTGGGTTAACTGAGATATAGTGTATTGTTTATACAAGGTGTAGTTTTGAAGCCGTGTCGTTTCTCGGGGGCATGTCACAGAAGTCATAAGGGTTCAATGTAAAAGAAAGTTTCGGGCAAATAGTTCAAAATACGGCTATAATAAATCGTTTGAGTTCGACAGGATTTCAGAATAAGTGACAGCAATGTTTCTTATTGGAGTTTTATGGAATTAGGAATAATATCAATTACGTGTTTGGGTTTGTGTGTGTTAAGTTCTCTATATTCTAGTAAATAACTCATTTTATTATCCTCAAGATTATTTTCTTTTTTAATCTCTTTGACTGGATATAGGTGTTGCATTGTTCTCACACAATCGAACCAATAAAACTATGTAACTAGAGAATTGTATTGTAAACCTGATTGAAAAAGAGTAACCTATGGAGATTCTTGCTCGTTCTTCTTCATAGGGATCTACGCCTTGGAATGAGCAACTAGCTTCACTTCTAAATTTTGTTGTTGACGTTCAAAAGTGCTGTCCTGGTCTAATTGAAATAAATGATTTTGACTTTTTTAAGGTCGTAATTCCCTTGGCTTGTGATATAAAATATTACCTAATTGACCATTACTTACCCCTGCTTGACACTTATCACCTGAACACTGAAAACAAAATCGTCTTTATGACTTACAAGATAAGATTGATTATTACTGCAAGAAGTTATATAGCTTATGCATTCTTTTACTTATTTGTACCATTACTGTGTCTGGACTTCTGGAGAATAGGAACATGTTCAACCAGTATTTACATTGAAATGATTCCACGATTGCCTTGTTGGCCGAGTGGTCGGAAGTGCTACAGGCAAGTGGTCTCGGGTTCAATTCCCGGGTCGAGCAAAGTACTACTGGGTTTTTACTTCTCAGTAGTAGCACGGAGTCTGGAACTATGCCCGGTATATAGCAGTAAGCTCACCCCCTATTACATGGGACTTATAAAATAAATAGTGAAAATTGGGTGTTACATTTTATAGTGGCATTAAGTGCCGTAATGTACACGGCACCTCTGCCTACTCCTAAGGGGATAAAATGCGTGATGTTATGTTATGTTATTACACAACTGGTAAAAATGTTATGCATATTTGGCTACCTCTTCGTAAAGTTGTATATTTTTATAATGTAATATTAGACTCTAAGTCTATTTATAGTGACTGGGATTGTAACGTGAAGATGTAGCGAGAGCTTAATATAATATTAATATTAATATAGTACGGTATGAAGTATCATGTTTGAGGAATTCTAATAAAAATTGCGTAGGCAAGTATGTCATATTATACGAGTAAATAAATAATTATTCACTTACTTATATAGGAAAACAGAAGAATTTAAGTGTGGGAGAGCCATCGGAGTGATACCGCGGCCTCACAGAAGTGACGTGAAACAACACTCGCGTTGTGTTCGGATGATTCGATTTCGAAGAATGATTTTCAGTTAGGTAATAATTATAAAGAGTGGCACGGCAGTGCCCCCACGGCGCACTGCATGGTGTTTGGCTACTGGGCTCCTCCTAATCGTGCAGTCTCTTTTGTACCTTTAGGTGTAAGTCATTCTGTAACATAACATCACGCCTTTTATCCTCGAAGGGGTAGGCAGAGGTGCACATTATACCACTGTACAATGTAACACTCACTTTTCACTATTAATGTTATGAGTCCCATATAATAGGGGGTGAGCCTATTGCCATATACGGGGCACAGTTCCAG